ATTTGCAATTATTATATATTTTCTTTTTTTTCAGTAAGATTTAAACGTTCAAACCGAAAAAAAAAAAAAAAAAAAAAATTAAGATCATACATTGTCCAATTAAGTTTGCACTTATTGCATTTATAAATGTTCTATTAATCGGATTTCAGACAGTTTTAATTGGTTGATAGAGACGTCAATGTTTATAGCAGAAGGCGAGATAAAAGTTAGCATTGTCTTCAAGACAGAATTTGTAGCAAGGGTTTATCGTGGGTTCCTGCCTGAAAGGTTTAACCCCACGGTGGCCCAAGCCACTTTAAGCGTACTACGCCCCCTGGCTAATTAGACAATCCCCACAGAGTAGGGGCCTAAGCAATACCAGAGTCCAGAACGGTTTATTTTGTATGGAACAATAAACCCCACTCTGGTCAGTGGTGAGGCCTAGCTGCACTCAAATTGTTCCACTTTGGCTAGGAACTTGCCGACCACAACCACCACGAGTACACCCCGAAGGGCCGCACCCAAGCAGTCAGGACTCACAAATTGATCAACGATATGCGTTCAAAAAGGGTAAAAATTGTGCTCGCTTCCGCCATAAGGCTTCCACGGCGCCATTGATCAATCACCAGCATTAGCCGCAGGCATCCGTGACATATGTTCAAAAGTAAAAATAAGGCAAAAGGGGAAAAAGCCTTCCGTCAAATCCCTTTTTTAATTTTTGCATGTATTAATTCTCAAGAGAGGCCAAAGGGAAGGCCATCCGTCAATTCCTTTTTGTATAATTAACTCTCTCCTGAGAAAATTTTAATTCCAACGACTTTATGAACAAAGTCCATCATACACCCGTAGGCATATGTGGCTTTGTGAGGCAAGCCTCCTGACCCCCGCGGCTCTCAGTTTGTTTTGCAAAGCCTTTGGCATACTTTGGGCGATTGTTAAAGACAACCGTACTTGCTTCGGATTCACCATACTTCCTTGGTTGCCAGCACCATGAACTACTTTTCTTCGAGATACATAGGTCTCGGGTAGAGTGATCTACGATGCACTCGCTAGATTACTACCTTCAACGTACTTAAAAACCATTCATTCATATATTTCCTCGGTAGTAATCAGCTATTGAGTGAAGAGCTCATCTTCCGGCCAAACCCCTCCACCATCTCTTAGAAACTCGTCGCCGATTTAGTAGCCCAAAACCTTAAACTCTTCTTAGCCGGCCGAAGCCGTTGCCCGGGGATCACCACTAGGAGGTGAGAGTTTCGGCATATCTATGCTCCCCATTAAAGCATAGTTTATCTTACCTGTCTTCAAGACAGTGAAGACCTTCAATCTTTGCATCATTGTTTGGTGTCCGTTTTCTGTAACAACTTATAATCGATTTCTTGGATGGTTGTTCAAATATCCATCGAACTGTTACGAGGTGCTGGACATACTTATGTAAAGTGCTTGCTATGCATTCTATGCATTTGGCTTAGGTACTATATTCTAAGCAATTTCTTTGGCTATGTATTGCTTTAGGGGCTAAGTTGAGATGTAATCACTTCAGCGTTCGAGCCCTTGCTACGACTAACTATTTTCGCAGGTTACGCATAGATTTACACTTTCATATAATTTCCGTCTGACCAATAATATGATAACGATCTTAATGATCTTATTACGAACGAGCCGAGCTTTTTTGGCGCAAAAGATTCGCTTGTTGTTTTCCTCCAGCAAAGGAAAAGCGTCTTAGAATATCTACTCGTTAGTTACGTTCAATGGCCGTTTAGCTTCGCAAATCGGTCTATGTCGCCTGCCTGGAGTACAAGTTACAATTTTCATAACCTAATTTGCCTAATTTTCCGTAAACCAAAAATTTTGATGGCATTGCTAGCAATAAAAATACATTGTCTTTGGCAACATCATGCTAAATAACCAATCGTACAATAAAGACAGTCGTTTAAGTCAGATTAAGGGGCACTTGGAGTGCCACATCTCACTTATTAGAATCAGATTAAAAACGAATTTGAATAAAACTTTTCACTAGCGTTTATATTATTTTCAAGCGGATTATCGTTGAGACTTTTTACGAGTGCGGCAGAAATTTTTTTGTGGTATGGTATATGTGTGCGAAATTTTGCCTTTTTGGTGTACGGTCTACGTATTTTGAAGTGACCGCGCATTCATTGCGTTCGTTGCTGCCGAGTGATGTATAATAAATTGCTTTTGGCATATATTTCTTCCAAGTTCCATTGTATGCTTTATTATATTTATTCTATAAAAGGTTTTACGAGTGTAAGTAACTAACTATTATGTTAGAAAAACAAAAAGTCTATGAAAAGAATTAAGCATAAAGTTTCATGCTGTGCAAAGTCGTCGTTACGTCTAGTACAAGTGAACCTTATTAAGGATGAAAAGTAAGTTGTTTAACTAAATGAATGAATTCTCAGCATTTTGCACTAATTTTATAATCATTTTATAGATTTTAACAGTACATTTAGATTTGTGATAATGTTCTGACCTTGTCTTTACTTTCATGTTTTTTATTTATTGTTTTATAATTTTTTTCAGCAGAATTTGCTCTAAGCAAAATTTATTACTTTTTATTTACTTTTATTTATTATAATCATTTTTAACCACATTGTTTGGGTTTGGGATTGCAGTATAATAAAATTTATTTACTCTGCAATGTAATAAAATATCATTATTTAAAATCATTACTGTTGATTGTCCAAATTAATAATGTTCTTGCGTACACTTATGCATAAATTGCCTCACATTTGCAAGTGTTAAGATAAATATTTATTTTGAGTATACGTACAGCTTATATTAATTTCATTATTAAAGTCTCCTCTAAAGATATCGATAATAAATAAAAATAATTAAGCGAGTAAGTAAAATTTAATTGTGGCTAAATGTATATATATAATAAGTTCTCTCATATATATATGCATATGCATATATACATATTGGAATAAGTTCTCTCTCCTTTTCAAGAGTAATAGCACGAAATAAAGCAATGACTTCTTCATATGAAAGAATTTGTGTGCAATAAACTTGAGGTAACAGTGTGTAATTATCCCATTCAGATGCAATCAATTTAAAAGTCACGTTCTATGACAAGAAACAGCTGAAGGCAGGAAAGTGCTGCTGAAGGGTGGCGAATGGGAATCATGGATACTTTATGATATCCAAGATCGTCAACATGGTCGAAGGTCGAAGGGACTGCACGCTGCCGTGCACTGTTGTACAGGTACCTCTGACTAACGTAACCTGTAGAATAATTTACTTGCAGTGATTTCTTTCGCCTTGCGAGAGAATGTATAGGAGTGCAGATGGCTGTTAACTACTCTTGCCAAACGGTATCAGTATTAGGAAAAGCTATCAACAACAGCTGATGTAATTAAAAGCATGAACCGCGTAGCAAACGTTAGCAAAGGCGAACAGTAATATGTTTCCTTCGGTGTTGCATTCACAAGATATAACTTTTTCTGATTTACACTAATTTCGATAAATGACTTATAATTTGTTTAAAGGAAACTCTCTATAGTGAAACTAATCAAGAGTACCGGAAGTCGTCTCCTTGCATGTTTTTTTTTTTTTTTAAGCCATTAGCTAGTATGCAGGTCACAGCACTTCACTTTCGGGAGGCAGGATACTTTTGCCCAAATGTCCGAAAAATACAATTTTCTTTCAAAGCATAGCTTATTGAAAGTTTGCATACATAAAATATCATGGGATAAATTGCATTCTTCACTTGCAACATATTTGCACGAATGCACGAAATGAGAACATGTTAGTGAATTGCGAACGCGAATATTCATTTAACTTTCTTTCTCTCTCTCTCTCTCTCTGCCGCTATACTTTTTTTTTTAATTTTTTAATAGTTTATTTATTATTATTATTATTATTATTATTATTATTATTATTAATTTGACCAGAGAAATAAATTCTTAGATTAAAGTGTTAAAGGACTAGCATCTAAGGCTATCTGGCTTTATTGAAAACTTTACCGCACTTGAGATTTCAACCTACGATCATTGAGTTGCTAGACGAGACTCTTTCCCTACTCGATCACTCAAGTAATTTAGTGGATAAGTTTTGAATCGAATTAGGAGAGAACTGGTCGATGGCGAATGCTTGACCTTATTCCTTTGCAAGTTCTTATTACAGCTTTTGCTTTATGCAGCGAAATGGGATATAAAAAAGAAAATTAAATTATTATTTTTTCGTTCCCGTAGTTGCTGTTGTTGTTGTTGTTTTTGGCGTTTTTTTTTTTTTTTTTTTTTGCTTTTAGTTTTAAAAATTGTTTTGTAGTTTTCCACACAATTTAGGCACGTTGTCGTTATTCCAAGTACGCGTACATACACTTAAGAGCTTTGTGTGTGTATTTGTAATTCTATAAGTGCATTGTATGGTTATCCCTGAGATGGTTAAGCGCAATAACCAGAACATAACAACTGTAACGCACTCATACAAACAAAAAGCGCACATATTTTAACGCACTAACCACTATCATCACATCGTGTAACATCATACAACCACTACCGAAAACGCTAACACACTACAAGCAACGCTTACAAACAATTAAATTTAATTAAACACAAAAACAAAATCTTAAAAAGAAAAAACGAAATAAATGAAAACAAAAAACACATCTAACAAAAGAAACCCGAGAAACAACTTTGTAATCAGAACATAACCATTCGTTGTATGTTTAGAAAACAAAAAAGTTCAAATAGAAGAAAGCGGCAGAAAAAAAGACAAGAAAATATTTCATGTTTAACGGTTGGTTAAACATGAATATGATAGACATTTTTATGGGGCAGGGGATAGAGAGGGAGGTGACGAGGTTACGGCAACACTCGGCAAACAACGGTTAAATTATTATCGTATGACAAATAAAGCTAATGATTTCTTTTAAAATTTTTTTTTTTTTTT